CATAGCACCCCCACGACGAAAGTCAAGGGACTGATGATGATGATGATGATATATATATATGTCTCAGCAGATAACATTCAAAAGGTATGAAATGGTTATTAAGTACAGTCAGCTGCTGTGCTACTTTCCTCAAATATCCTATAAGATGTACGTTCTACATTGAATGAGCTTACTTTCAGTTTCCAGTGAGTTTATCTAAATGATCTAAAATCCTGGTTCTCGACTCTGTAGACATGTCATCTCCCTAGTACAGTAGCTTTGACTTACTGCCGGTGACCGAGAACTTCAGTCAGGTAGGATAAATCAACTGATATTCAGGATAACTTCAGTCGATAAATACTGTCACTCTTTAGACAAGTAGTTCATCTTGTGACTCACTTGATTAGTGGATAACTTTTTGACGTTAGAAACGATGGTTCGTTTGTTTTAGTCTCAGCAGAAGCACTGTCACTCACTTAGATTCGTTCGTATCCAGTTGATGAGCTCAAAATAGGGAGGAAGCTGCGTTCCTTATTCCTCTGTTAACCACTATCAGTCCAATAACATTAAGCTAAAAATATATTATGCTGAAACTCTCAATACTAAATTAATAATACGAAGAGTATGGTTATTACCAAGCAGTAAGGAGATTAACTGCGAGCTATTATTACAAGTCAGTTTGAACACAGTATGTTGTATAGGCGCTTTCATCACCTCAGAGTAGAAAATGTACAGTTTTTCTTTTACGGTCAACCCATTAAGAGCCAGAATTTGGTTGGTGATCGCACCATATACCGGTAATTCGTAAAAGTCAGAATTGATCGGCCTTTGGATCCCTCTCCAAATAGCTGAATGGTAAACGAGGTGACCTTTTTTAATTGAGAGTTCTGGGACTGACCCCCAGTGGGCTATAATGACATCGACAGCAGTCAGTGGATAGTTTATGTTATCTGTAGAGTAAAACTGTATTTTCAATTTCAAAACAGTAACATCTTATTATTGGGCATTTAATTCGTCCATTATTTCTTCTGCTTATTAGTAAATAATAGAAATGGGCATTTTACTATCGTAGTTACTTTAATTCCTATGCTTTTGAAAAGTATCTTGAGAAAAGAGACCATTTTTTATACAGTTAGTTATATTTATAAGCTTTTGTGAAGCAAAAGCAATAAATATGGTGAAAAGAATTCAGTTTAATTCAATTTCGTGAGTGTGCTCTGAGTCTTCTACAAACGCATTAAATTGAAAATCTGTGTTCACTTTAAATAATTTAAGATGTCATTATCAAATACAAAGAATTTGACATTGAGTTCAATGGAACAATTAACATGAAATAAGTATTTTCACAACTATACAATATATATATACATATATATGGGAACAAATAGTTATTACAATGATAAATCAGAGTGTATATTCAATCTAGACAAAACGAAATAATTCAACACCATAATGACAGTATGTAATTAAAATTCAAGGTGGGGTAGATGGCATTTAAGATATGACATATGTTGTGATAAGGAGAGAAACTATGGTGAAACATTGAACGATTGACTAAGAAACAATATTATTACTCTCATCGGTTCCTCTTCAGCTGGCCCCATAGTCTGTCATCTCTTCTTCACACGATCTCCTCCATGTCACTCTCGGACACATTTCCAACTCGTCATTTCTCACTCAGGTCCCACTCGAGCAGCAGTCTGGAGCGAATTTGTAAAACAGAGTCGCACGTCGTCAGTTCAGCTCATGAATAAAATCACAACTCACATGATAAGACGTCATCATTCATCCTAATTGCAGGATATTTTTTCATAGCGTCTACTTCAGGTTAATAGGCTTTCTTTTCATCTAGTAGAATAAAACACTTCAAAGAAGAACTTAAATTCAGTTGTGTCAGACCAGAAAAAATATTTATCAGTAATAAATCTTTCCGGTATAATTATGGGTCTCTTTCCATGTGAAGTATTAAAATGTCAAACTGGCGATCCACAGACCACGGTTGGGTCGAAGCCTTGTACTACTGAGACTGTTATCTTCCGTTCCAGTCATCAACTATTAAATCCATATAGGCATATTCACTGAAGTCTAACAACTAACTATTTATATTAGCTTGAGAAGTTTATTTTTTCTGTTTTTTGATTATTTTACTTTCCCAGTGGAACATAGGGATTCAAGCTAGAGGCATGAAGTCTCAGTAGTAGTGGTGTTCATTTTTACGGGGTGAGGTTGCTAGCCTTACGCCCAACCTTTCCTCTTAACCAGTATTACTATTGGCTTAGCGAGTTAGAGGAGTTCGTTAGTAGGCCGGGGATCGAACCCTGGACCACATGCGTGGTTGACAAGCATTTCACCGATGCATTTAATTGTTTTATAAAGCCTTTTTAACAAATAAATCTGCTTTCAATTGTTTGTGTGCATCAGTTTGATCTACAGTATACACACACCTATAAATGCTGAGGGAACTCAAATATGGACGAAACAGCTGTATAGCACTTCCTGGTTTTCAATGATTTTCGGATTGATTTCAGTTCATATTCGAGTTTGAAATAAATTTGTTATAGACAGACTTACACAAGAGCTTCATCACTAAACTAAAAATCGTGTCTTCTTTGTTGTACTATAAATGGTGGCATATATATGTGTACATAATGTGAGCTGAATTTCGCTGGTCCTCTGATAATGAGAATTTACACTCTAATATGCATTCTTTTGAAGTTGCTAGTGTTAAGTATTACTGTTAGGATATCTTTTAGAAAAAACCCTATTATAATACACATCATCTAGAAATGAACGTGATTTTCAAAGTGTTTTACCCATGAAAGAATCTAATTTAGTTACATTTATTAAAACTATATGAAAACAAAATGATATGAGCTAATTTGGCAGATGGAAATTCGAATTACCCACTCTTAAGAGAAACACACTATCTTTATTCAATTTTTGAACGGATCTCATTTATTTATTTTTCGTTTAGTAGACTCCATTACAAACTGACATTAACTGGAGAAGTAGTGAAAGCAATAAAGTTGTTTCTGACTGTTAAACATTAAACTATGATAACTCTGGAGAAATGAAGCCAGTCACCGTCATATTTCGAAGAAGGAGATTAATTGTAAAGTAATTTGGTCAAATTTGAAAGCCCAATACCTGTTTTAACTCTGATCGCTTACGGTATGGAATCGTTACAAGCTAATACCGTCTGTAAGCAACTATCCATTACACCGATAACACAATTAATTATAATTTTGGGAAATTCTCAACGAAAGTAATAGAAATGAGTCACCTCTTCCTGACAGAGCTTCTTTTCACAGATATGCTTGTATCATTATGTGTCAAAATGAGTTTGATTAGATTATAGGTGAAATTTCCGAGAAACAGTAACTTCAAAACATTTCATTGACTAGTGGGATCTTAATTTTAGGATTATTTGTCAACCATAATAGTACAGAATAATGATTTCGATTCTTTGGGTCGTAAACAACGAAGTTCAAGTAGTACAGATTTAGCTCCTCATCGGATTCCCGAACATCATCCTGCGTGGTTAAGTAAAGAACAAACAAAATCCATTCATAGCGCTATTCTATTTTATTTTGTGGATACAGAACACAAGATTGATGTCAACGAGGCGGCTTTCAAAGTCATTTACCGTATAACAACTAATCTTAACTTCACCTTAAGAATTCATCTACTACATATTGGTGAGGCTGTTATGATCCACATTCAGAAAACTAACTTATATATCCAAGAAAAACTGGTTCAGACACTGTCCTTACCTTGGCCCTCAAGGTTCTAATGATCCTTAACTGGTTGTGAAAGTTTCCTTAATTTTATTTCATGTTCTATTTGTTATTATATTTGTATGCTTATTATAATTTATGCATCTTAAGTGAAATGTAATTGCAATGATCTTACTTAACAAATCAATATTATTCAAAAAATACTAATATTGTTTTTGACTACAATTCTAGAATATTCTATTTATATAGGCATATATATAATTGTGGAGCCAGAAGAGGAAATTATCGAAAAGGATATTCTTTGCTCAAATTTTTTTTGTTTTTTTTTCCTTTGGATGTGTTGGTCTGTAACATGTAGAAATAGTAAAAGCCCTTGTAAAATGGTGATAAACAGCTTGTAGTTTATCTGACCATTTCAACAAATATAAACCTGCTGAAGTTCAGTAGGTTGACAGGATTATGTATAAGTATTACACAGCAGCTAGCAGAAGCCAAGAACCAGTAATGAAACAATACAGTACTAATATTTTAATATTTCACGAAGGTCTACTAGCTGGTGTTAAATGATAGGTTTACTTGTCAGGTTCAATATTGCCATCTTATATACGACAAAATACATCCCAGATTTTAAAGTGCTTAAAACCTGTGCTACCATTAATTTACTGCATATGCTTTCTCTTATTCACTTTGTTTAAATGTAATAAAATATGACTTCTAACAATATTGTTTACAATGGCGAGTATTTATAAAATTCACGACCTGCCGATTCTTAAGTTTCTACTAATCATGTGAAAAAGCATTATCCTCAATGACAACTTATCAATATACATGAGATGACCTTTCCTGAGTGGTGTCCTTGGTTCACAATATGTACTCCTGAACTTTTTATAATTGACAAACAACTAAATGTCGCGTATTTCTCGAAGGAGAAAAAGAAGAGATATCATAATAGATTGGTTGGCTCTTCAGGTCAAATAGAACTATGTTACACAATCTACTGTCAGGTAATCTCTTATTTGAAGATCCTGGACCAAGGGAACATGTTATGTAATAAACTCCGCCGAAAATTCTGTATATTTTATAAAAATTGTTCAGAATAAAGCTTTTATTATTACTCTTTACTATCAAATTTACATTTTCAAAACTGTTGACATCTTTTCACATAATATTCCACATTGTTACACTTTAAGCATTACAGTACATTATTCCTACTACCCCGCTGTGAAACTGAGTCACACTGTAGTAAGTTATTATAGTTGTTATTATTATTAGAGTGAACATGACTTGACGTTTGTAGAAACTTTTACCACCCAGAGGAATTGACATTTGGCAGTATAGCTAAGTTTCTTCAGAATCAGGCGTATAAAAACGCATCAGTTTGCCTTATACTATCTCCTACCTCATTATTACTCTTATTATTGTTCTTATTATTGTCTCTGTTTCTGTATCCCACATAAACGGGCACTTAACTTTACATTTATTGTCCATCTTTTCCCCTGTTTCTTATTATTCAACATATGCATTGTCCATTCCTCAATTCTTCGTGAAGATATATGCAAAATGGTAGCAGGTTCATTCATTTTAAATCGATGCGACTAAGCATATGTGAACTGTCATGTTACAATTTAACGCTGTTTTCATAACAGTAATAAATAATAACAATAGAAGTATAAGTTTTCAATCAATACTGAGAACATTCAGCTACACCCATAATAAAAGGATGTACTGTGTACAGAAATATAAAACTAATAGACTGATAATGTTTCAGTGTTATAATGCATGCTAATAAAAGTCAAATAACTTGCTTCCTATTGATTCAGCCATCTGTATTACTTTACAGAGTAGACTAGTAAACAAAAGATGTCATCACTGATGTCCTTAAAATTTTGGGGATGGTGTACGGGTGGGGGTTAAGTGGGAGGAAGGGCCAGTGGAACAGAAATGTTATTATCTACTAAATAGTTATTTAGTTAAATAGACAAAATGTGAAAGTATTAATGTTTCTTTCCACTCTGTTGACTATTTGTAAACAAATTATGACAGAGTATGAGGTTGAAGGAAGTTGAGAAAAAGTCAACTGAATTAACCAATTGAATTAATCCTTACAGGAAGGAGAAGAAGTCGCTATGAAAATGAAGAATATTAAACATCATATAAAAATGATGAATGCTGTTGATGAGGACATGTCATTTGTACATATTTTTGGACCAATAAAAATTTTGTACAGCTCCCAGGAAACTTGGATAGCTCTTTTATCTTGATACATGTTTACACAGCCTTGAGGCCAGGACATTTTAGCTTCACATTATTGTTAACGTTATTACCTTGGGCTTCAATAGCACATCTCCACTTACGTCACTTCTCTGTAATCTGTTTTGAGCTGGCTCCATGATAACCTATTAACTTTCATTTCTTTCTCACACGATTTCCTCTGTTTCATTCTCCAGAGCCTAAGTTGTCTCCTGCCATTTAGGTTCCGTTTGAGGCTAACCTTGCAGTGTGATGTCATTCAACAGTTTCTTTAACGTACAACAAGTCCATCTTCATATTTTGCTTCATATTCGTTGGGTGACGGATACTTAGTTGGTTCGATTCTGGAATTCCTATTTGTTTTTCTTTTGTAGCCTGCCATCTGATCTTCAATAACAAGATGGTGAAAGAATTTCTGCAGTGGCTCACTGGAAATGCTTTCCGTGACACGCGAACGTCCCTAAACTAAACAGGAACGCTGACTTGACATCTGTGTTTAAATTTCAGATCTTGTTCCTTAGACTTACTAAGTGCTGTAGATCTCCACACTGTCTTCAGAGCCATGAAGGTATGTCTCACCTTCCCAATCCTGTCTGGCTTTGACCTCTTCGACTATGTTGTCTGTTTGTTATGGAAACGAACGAGGTGGCCTACTTTAGATTTCTCTTGTTCACGCTCTACAATAAGCAAGATACAATGAAATTTCTAAATCTAGACTCCATTTTACACATTTTTGGCTATCGTATCGTTTATGATTAAGTACACAATTATTCAGTCTCTTTTTGTTCTGGATACTCTTGTGTTAAAAACAGAAAAATGTACTTTTCCGTTCATACTACAACTGTCAATCAACTGAAAATTTCAGCGTCTGGTAGATTACGTAGTGACAAATCATAACACTTAAAAATCCATACAGCGTATTTGTTTTTGGTGTTCGTCAGTATTAACGTTTACGGAGTAGGATATCAGACAGATTGTTTGTAATTCTTAAATCTAGATACTTCATCTCCCAATAAGTTTTGCACAATTTCCACAAATTGCAGTATTCACACAGATGCATACTACCGAATAATAGAATTTCTATTAACAATACTGAGTTCACTGGTTCCAGTCGTGCCACTGACCATGTTTTCATTTTAACTTAAAGCATCAGCCCATTGCAGATATACTCTTCTGTCAATCTATAGCTATGTGAGTAATGATCACCATCATGGATTGTGATCTTAAACGGGACAATCAGACCCAGTGAACAGAATTTATTAAAGTATATCACTGATCATCATGACTACAATTAAGATAAGCGGTAAATGATATATGGGATCTAAGCTCCTAGTAACAAAATTATCTGATTAACAGAAATAATATCAAGAAATTTATTGTGTTATTGGGAATGTTGTACAAATGAATCTGGTTTGCTTCTAACTGATGAATTTGTAAAGTCACTGTACACCTGGAAGTAGACTTTAATTATGACTTAAATCATGAACTAGCGCAAAGTGAAAATCGTAGGCTACAAGAATTCGAAACAGAAGTTGAACAATAATGTGACTGTAGCAGAAATTATTATCCTTTATGAAGTGATGAGCTTACACAGCTTAAGATTTCGAAATTTGCACTAGGTAGCTATTCAGTGATTAGAATTATTGTTCATCTTATTATTATTATAATATTATTGTTTCCTTTAGTTCCTAGAGGGACATAGGGCTTCAGCCTCCTATTTCCATTGCGTTCGGTCCTCCGCCAACGTTTTCACCCGGCTGCACGTCTGCCCACATGCTTTCATCTCCTCTTCTCATAACCTCATACAAGTTACCCTTGGACGACCAACTCGCCACTTCTCGTTCCGATTACACTCGTGGGCCTGTCTAGTGATCTCACTTGATGGTTTCCTCAAAGTATGACCAATCCACCTCCATTCTTCCTGCTTATTTGTTGCACAATCGGTTCCTGGTTGGTTTCCTCATTGCCAGAGATCCCTCCCTGGTGCTGATCTTCTCTGCCCATTTGATCTTGAGCGGATTATTGAGCAAAGACAGCTGTTGTGAAAGTCTGTGGTTTTTTCGAAGTGCCCTTCGTGACGTGACGCCAAGTCTCTGATCCATCAATATAATAGCATTGACTTCACATTGGAGTTAAAAATCAGGATCTTATCTTTTATGCAGAGTATTGTTGATCTCCACACAGACTTGAGAGTAATGAAAGCTTGTCTTGCTTTCCCAATCGTCGCTTTGATGTTCTTATCAGTTCCACCTGTAGTTGAAACGATGCTTCCTGATTCCCTATTAAGTGATGTTAAGTTTATCAGACGCAATGTCAAATTTACGCAGGTTTGAATATATTTGAAAGCAAAAACTTCTATTAGCATAAAACTTCTATTTTACCTGAAGTCATATTTAACATATCAAATATGGCAACACTTACGAATGTCGTCATCTAGAGGTCTACTCGACAATGATGGTCATAGTCGCAGATGAAGAGACATCTATAGAAAAAAACACGCAATGTCTGATGCATCATTGCTAAAATATAAACGTTATCAGTTAGTATCAAGTAAAGGGAAAGTAATCTATCCATTACTCTGATGACTTTTATTCCTACTTGATAGACATCTTCCCTGTAGTGAAGAATTCTAGAACTTATCATTCCATTAACATTAGATACATTAGTTAAATAGAGTCATCTTTTCAGACATAATCGCCCAACAGAATCTTTGTCTAACTTTTACAATAGACTTGAATATTCATGTGTATTTGTTTGAATCTTATCAAGGAGAACAGGCGAATGATTCATTCATCATTTTATCAATAAACAATAATCGTACACAGTATGAATGTAAAGTGAAACAATGATTGAAATCGGCAAATAACTGGATCGTTTTTTTGCATTATACATATTGTTGTTGTTGGTGTTTAACAACTGGATAAAATCTTGTTTACATGATGAAATGTTCACATGTGTCAAATATATATATATATATATGTACATTTGTACAAAATATGTACAGTTAGTGAAAACGGAGAGTGAAACCTGTCAACTAACAACTAATGGATAATTTTTAAACAGTCAGGTAGTTGCACATTAGAAAACATTCAAATCTCTATCAGATTATGTGAAAATTTGGACGAAATGGATTGTATTCATGATGTTCAACAAACTGTTGTCTGAATAAAGCAAGAACAACAAATATATGAGGATAATCTGAGCTCATTTCTTCATTTTTTTATTATTTTACGAATTCTTCTCAACTGGTTACAACCTGAACAGTACCAAAATTATAAATTAAATTATAAATGTGAACATACTTTTGTTTTACAATGATAATGAGGGACTGATTTGAACTGAGAGTAACATTGACCAGGAAAGATGTGAGTTGTTGGATAATTAAGAGCGAAAAGGACCGACTGTTTATAGAAGAACTGCATGACTAAGCTGGGAAACAAAAGGATAGAGTTCAACAGATGATTTGTGGGTAGAAATAAAGTTTAACTCGAAAGAGTATAAAAAGTAATAGGTTACGTAACCACAGAAAAACACGTTTTTATAAAATAAACAATAAAGGAGGGTAGGATGAGTCATGTTTAGACGAAACAATCAAGTTTTCTTAACAGGACAGAAGATGACATAATGACATGTGTGTGCTTTCTTATCACCAAGACAGTGAACTGTCGTGTTAACTCCTTTACTGTGATGTATATATATATATTCTTCAGATGACCAGATGACAAAAATTTATACGACTTAACTAAATGTTACATGATAATTAGCACTCCGGAGGATTGGCTGGACCAATAATGAACATCACGGTAATTTACACTGTAAGAGTGGAATTTGAGCATTGCGTTAGAATATAATTCCATGTTAGATAAGTCCATTTAATTTTATACACACATTGATACAATAGTAATACTTGGTTGACGTGCTTCGAATTAGAATCCAAGAACACAAGTCAGCCGTGAAAAGACACGCAATTATATCACTCATGAAGAAATTTAAATCATTTCAGTTTATGCTAAATATTGCGCTGAAGATGTTGTCCAGAAGGACGACGAAAGCTCCGCAACCAAACCAACCAGCTCAGAGAACACTATTAATTGCAAATCATCCACCTGAGCTACAAATCTTCATTATTACTTGGCTGATTTATCAATGGGACCGACAATATCCTGAATAGTAACAGACATAAAGCTATTAGAACATTTAATCCTGCTCTTAGGTTATTTTTTTTCTTTTTTTCTTTTTTGATTATGGAATTTTCAGCATGTGATATCGATAGCCCAAATTTTACAGGCAGACCACTGATATCAGGAATGCGTTCGAAGGGGATCGAACCCCGGATCATGTGAATGGTCAGCGAGAGTCCTAACCGCTGTGCCACCGACGCAAACGTTACCTTTGTGTTGAAATCTGAACATATCCTCAAGGTCTTCAGACATAAACTCAACAGCAGATGGAGACGAATATACTTTTGAGTTTAAAAAAATGAACAGAGCCAGTACACTAGGCTAGACTAAAAAATCAGACGAAAACATGGTAGGGAGTTAGATACTAACATCTATAAAAAAGACCATAAAGTCCATTAAATAATAAATAAATCAAATAAATAAGGAAAATATTAGTAGTGAATAATTTACTCACCAGATTTTACCCAAAAAAACATGAAGACTATTGAGAAAAATACGTGTAGTCACGTGAATATTGAAAATAATATGAAAAAAGGAATTCAAGCCCTCGAATTTACTGCCATATAAAGAAGGAAGATCTGATGCTCTGTGTAGGATTCCTAATAAGTCTGGAATCAAAGGGGAATTTAAACCAATCAAATCACTCAGAGACGAATTTTGTCGGCTTAAGGATTGCATAAATTAAATTACGAAAAATAATATAATTTACTAAATGTCATGCTATGACTGTGAATTCGATTATGTGAGTCAGACTGGTAGATCTGTTTTAGTTAGATTACTGGGACACTGATCAGAGCTAGAATAATTAACCCTGCTAAGTTAAATAGCTCAGTCAGTTGAATGTAATGACACAATAGGGTGGGATAGAGTAAACGCAATAAAAATTAATATAGTCATCTGGAGAAAGAGGTTAATCACCGCATCTCTGTTAATCTAATCAACACTAAACATGTGCATTTGAAATGACGCAACATCTATATTGAATATGTGAAATATTGCTATAATCAACAAGGGGAAGAGAATATATATATATAAAGCAGATTATAGAGCCATGTGAATAAACTGATATGACATTTTTCTTTCCTTTGCGTCCCAACATGGGTCATAGGACTCCAGATCTGAACTCCTGAAGTTTCAGCGGGCCTAATGTTGTTTTCAAGAGGTGAGGTTGCTGTCGTCATATCCAACCTCCCGTCTGTACCAGGCTTACTACCGGTGGAGCGAAATTTAGAAGTGAGCTGGCAGTGATTTGAAGCCTGAACCACTTATACGGTTGGGGGGCGGCAATCCACCACTGGATGACTGTTACGTTTGTGAACTGTAAATTGTGCTAAAAACGTCATCCGTTTATTAATACTGTACCAATGAGTTTTAAATCATATAAACCTGTCTAATATGGAACTTATGCTGTACTGAGATTTTTACTGACTGTATCCATACTTTATAGTGCTTGAATTTAGCTGTTATTTTTCATCAATCATGGGTTATCATAATTCCCTCGTGTATATTCATCTTTATGGGACAATCGGTTGAACAGAAAAGTGATTGTTTCATGTACATTATTTAAGTTTTCTTACTTTCACACACACACACGCTTAGTTTCAAAATCTTTGCTGGATCCGATGTCTTCTTTCTGATGACACAGTTCTGTCCTGATGTAGTTGTTGGATGGTCTTCATTATAAACAGCTTTAAAACACTTATTATATTGTGCATATCAGCTCACTTGTTACTGATGAAGAATTTGAGATTCATAAAAAAAGATATTCTATCACCTTAACTACTACACAAAACTATAGAATATATCCCACATTATTAGGATTTTCTGAAATTATCAGCCCTACAAAATCTGCTTTCCAAACGTAGTTACGTCACCAAGCAAATAAACTTTATATTAGCTGTAAGTGCTGAGCATGTAACAGAGATCGGGCTTAAATTTATCCGTACGCAAATTGATACACTCATTTTACTGGGAATCATATGAATTCATTCTTGAATATACTCTTCGAAAATTAGTAAATAAAACTGTATTATTCAACCCTAACCACACACTTGCTCCGGGTTTGATTTCTGGCCGATGCACACTTGAATCTCATCTAGCTGACAGCAAACTTGGAAAAGAGGGAAGGTTAGGCACGAGGCTGGCACCAACCCAGTAAAACCAACACAAACACTACTAAAACCTCAAAGCATGAAGCTTGAAGCCCTATTTTCCACTCGAAACGCAATAGGATTAAAATAAAAGAAAGAATCATGACATCCATTTATCAAAAGTTAAATCGTTTGCTTCACAAACCACAAATCTTTGAGGACTAATACTGAGCAATAGTAGTCATGAATATGTATAACTCAATAAGGACAACTTTCTCAGGACAAGATGAATTCGTTTTATTCCAAAGGCTTTTCATCAGCGGCATACAACCAGAATAATCAACTGTGTTAGCCGTCAGCGTGACACAGTTTAAATATACTGAATACATTTTCCGAGAGAAGTTAGATCAGTTAATTAGTTACGAACAAAAGAGAGATATAATTTATTATAAGAAGTAGAGTATTCTGAGAATTTAAAGGCAATTCATGCATAAATGAAGACGATTGCGTAATCATGTTAAAAGTTACTCAACCAAAATGAAACAGGCCAAGGATAACGAAGGTGTTAATAAAATTAGTAAGAAAATACATGAACTCAGTCAATAAGTTATTTCATAGAAATGAGATGAAATTTTGATGAGTTAAGTTCACAGGGTTTCTCATAGTTTATCATCCAGGTTGTGTTTAGATGATGAAAATCCAATGAAATAAAATAAACTCACCTTATTCTGCAAATGTTATTCTTAACCGTGTTATCAAGAGAGCTGATTGTATATAATTATAAATATATTGTGCCAAGGAACATCAACAATCAATATTCATTCTGAACTTTAAAGATATCTTTAATCTCACTTAGTAGTTTTGGCTACATCACACAGTGCTACTAATTATTATAGAAATTATTTTAGCCTTATATTCCTTATGCAGTATTTCTGGCTTCAATAAGTAAGTCTTACTTCAACCCAAATGATCCTGAGCCGAAGTTACCTGATCGAATGAAGTTGTGTATCAGCACTGCAGTAATACACATGCAGTCACACACGTGTGTTGGTTTGAATTTCTGACTGACACATTACGAAACCTTGCCTAGTTTACAGGCTGATAGTAAGCCCAGTAAACAGGAAAGCTTGAATATGAGACCAACAACTCCAGCGTGTGTAAAACAACACCACAACTACTGAAATTTCAAAACTGAAGCTTGACGTCTCGTGTTCCATTCTAAACGTAAGAGACTGAAAAGCAAGAAAAAGCTGATAGTGAGGCTATGCTGCATTATAGGAGCTACTAATTCTCAGATTACTGGTTCGCATTCTGCTGAATTTGATATTTTCACTTCCCCTTTAATAATCACTCAATGCTTCAAGAAAGTCTTTTAGTTCTCAATTACTCACTTATGAAGGTCTTACGCAAATTAATCTGGTGAAGAAGTATGTCTCCTATTTATAAGTAATGAAGAAGCTGGATTTTAGACTTTCTGAAACTCATTCAGAAGATACATCTGTTAGTTTAAGAAGATTGGAGTAATCCATGAAGTTAAGGGTGTATTTCTTTGTTTCAGAGCACAGCAGTAATTGTTGT